CCCCCACCCCCATCAGTCGCACAATTTTGGTGCTGTTTACTCATCCATTATCCATCTCTCTTTTTACAACACTCTCCCTCTCTCCATTATTTACTTGTCAAGTTTCCACTTTTTTTTTTTGTTGTCGCATTTTTTTAACTTGTCTTTTGTTTAAGTGTTTTTCGTTTGTCCGTTGCCTCCCCCTTTACCATTACCCTTTTAAAGATTTATAACATTAAAAAAAAATCAAAAGAGTATTCCTGTTCCAAAAAATATTGTTCCCCAAATGACATCCATCTGAGAAGTGATGGATATAGCTTTTGGGTCTCTGTTTTTTGTGTATATGTTAACAGTGAATGTGTGTTGCCTGTTAGTGTAGATCTATAACGTTAAAATAATTTTATAGTCCATAAAGAAACATGAAATCAAAGATAAAAGATGCTAATGAAATTAGCGTGTGGTGTTGTTCTGCCGGTTTGCATTCTTGTTTGTTGTTTGTTGTTTCTCCTGATTTATTTATTTTTTTCTTTTAAAAAGATGTTGTTGTGTGGTGCTCTGGCTCTTTGTGTGTAACTATCTCCTCTTCCCTGTTTTTTCTTTCCCCCTTTTAGAACCCATCTCCATGCCTGTTAGCTCATCGTTTGCCTAGCATGTCTMCGTGGCGTCCAAAAAAAAAAAAMMCAAACAAACAAAAACAAAAACTTTTTTAAGCAAAACAAACAAAAACACCACTGAAAAAAGTGCCATCGTCCTCCTTCTACCCAGTCATTATTTTTTGATGTCTTTTCCGAGCTCACCTGATCATAACCTGGTTCACCTCCTCCGCCGCTGCCAACTGACCTTTTGAACTTTTAGCTTTTTTTTTGGACTTTTTTTAGTATTTTTGTTTTTTCGGGGTTTCTTTTTCTTGTGTTTTTTTGTTTTTGTTTTTGTTTTTGTTTGCATGTGACCTCATTTGGATATGTTTTCTGGGAGGGTTTCAGGGAGGCAATAAGTAAGGTGGGCAAGAGGATAAATCAATGTGAAAAATATAAAAAGCTGCATTCGTATTAAAAAAAAAGACAGATTTTTATGAAAAGATCAAAAATGTTCTTTTTTTGGGGAAAAAAATCAAACCTGTGGCATAGTGACTTGCTTTCATTTTGATTTCTTGCATTTTGTTTTCCTCTTTCTGTAAGTTTTCAGTTTGTTTTTCTCTTTTTTTTTTCTTGATTTTAAGTAAACTTGAACGTTCACTACAGGAATTGGTGCGACATCTTGCTTCTGGTTGCTGATTTAGAAGAAAAAAAACGAAAAAAAAAAACACGGAGAAAGGAAAAATGAACACGGCGCCAGAAGCAGTCCGTGCCAGTTTCTCTGAGAAATAAGACTACTTCCGAACAGTTTTGAATAAAAACTGTCTGATCAATATTAGACTCTCTCAGAGCTCTGTAATGGTTTTTACATTTTTCAGGCAGTGTAAAGTTTTTTGATAAAGCCATTTTAAGTGGCTCTGTTTCTCATTCAAAGTCTATATATAGAACCACTTTTTTCTAGAGTAGTTTAAAGGTTTAAAAAAAAGAACAAAAAAAGACATTTGCCCTGTTTGGGGGGAGAAATGCTACCTACTTGTGTCACCTTTTGCTGAACTGACTCACAGATAGACAATCCGTGGTTTAAATGCACATGATGAAATGACCTATATTTTCTACTGTTTAAATGTATAGAAGAAAAAAAATACGATACCTGTAACCCGCGTTAATGTCGGTGCTTCTTGTGAGTTTAGTTGTGGTTTCATCACAAGTCTAACGGTCTTAAATGTCTCATGTTTTTCAAGAGAAGACTAAAAAAATCAGTTTACTTGAACAATAGACAAAGCCTTTCATATTACTATAATAGTTACTTTGTTATTTCTTTTCTTTTCTTTTTTTTAAGGAGTCCCTATTTGCTAAATTTCTTGTTAATTAGCTATATAAAATTCCTAAAAATATATATAAATATAAATATATCTATATCTATATATAATGTCAGCTTGTGAAGCATCAGTGTCATTATTTTATTTTCTCTCGTGGGAAACAATATTTAGATGTGTTTTGTTGTTCGGCAAAATGTCTTATTAAGAAAAAAAAAATACGACATCAGTGGAGTTTAGTGCCAAATTCTGAAGGTACTTCCTGCCTAGCGCGTCAGTGTATTTCTTGTGAAATAATTTGATAACATGGGTATTTTATTATAAGTGTTTTGTATGGATCCCTCATATTTAAAATATAGATTTAAAAAAAGAGTTTGTTAACTTGCTATTCTGTGGTCTTGTTGCCTGAAAATGTCATGTTTGCTTTTTTTTTCTTTGTAAAGATGTAAAAAAGTGCCCATGTGTCATATATATATATAAATATAAATATAAATATATCTATACACACACATATGCACACATGGACACACAAACACTCTCGTGCGAACCTTACAGTTTACTTTTTCAATGTGCATGAGAGCCCCTGAGTGTGAAAGCCTCTTCAGCAACCGCTACCGCCCCACGCCAACACACCCAAGCATCACGCTATTTTTTTTAGCCATTGTACAGCYGTTTTATCCATCGAAGCCTTACCACGAATCTTTGCACTCCTGTTTATACCCCATCGGTATCTCGCACARAGAAAAGTTTCAGCRTGCAGTGTTTTTCTTACTTCAKCCCGCTTTCGGCYRATTAAAAAGCCAGAGACTCGAGCCTTATTTCTCCRAATCYTCTTTTTGTKCAGTTCCAAACATTTCAGAGTCGTTTGTTTCTGATTGCGAGAATCATTACTGCTGTGTATCATGTCTGAGGAGCGTTCATGATGTAAGCACAGGGCAAGACTAGCTCGTTCGGCCTGGAATCTTTTGAGGAATTAAAAAAAGCACACGTCGCCGTTGGACCGGCGTAACAGAAAAGGAAGCGGGACGGTCCAAATGTCGCTGCTGTTCTTTTACTTTAGYGGAGACTTCTTCATACGTAAGTCTTGTGGTGTAATGGGCCAAAATCATGTATAGATGCCAAAGTTTGTTCTCGACATTCACATAGACGAGCCGTTTACATGGCACAGTGTTGTYAGTCTTATTCAACCCTCTACCCCCTCCCTGATAACAAGTTATGTCTGCAAAAAAACACAAAAAAAAAAGAGGCAGCATTTTTTTCTACAAAAGCTCACCAATCGCCTTAACCAGGGAGTCGTACCAGTATTATAAAAGTAGAAAATGTTGTCAGTCAGTGATATGTGCCAAGTCTAGATTCAGTGTTGTGTGCAGTTAACCTCCCACTTCCGCCATTTCGTCCACAGCAGAGGGGGGGGAAAAAATGAAGGGGAAATTAGAAGCTTGAAGGATGCTGCTCTGCTTTTCGGTTGTTGTCTCCCAGGCTGGCTGAGGTTATTGGAAACAAGGCCACGCCGAGGAGCATCTTATTGGAATAGCGACGGGGGAAATAAAGCGCTTGTTGGTTCGAGAGGAAGAGGTCACGTCTGCAAGTCCGTACAGGAAAAACAACAGCCAGCGCCAAGACGAAGGCGAMCTGGCTTTCATTAGATCCTCTCGGAGACCAAACTTTTGCTGATTTTTATGGACATCAGCAAGCAGAAATTACCTTCCTTTTGTCCTAATGCAGTACACAAGCCACAAACAGCTGTATGATAGCTGTGGAAATCTTAAAATTGCACATTTTTCACCTTCACCTGCACAGTTCCTTAAATGAGGGGGGGGCTACGTTCGTCACCCCAAATTGTAAAATTGCCAAATCGCACCAACGCTGCACAGTCTAGCGTGACGCATCTCGTCTTTGTTTCAATGTGGAAGCACAAGAGGGTCGTAAAAGCAGAGTTTCTGTGGAGCGGCTCACCTCAGGGGCTGTCATCGCCGATGCTCGTTGTAATCTTTCTATCTCGTCACTGTTCACTTCTCTGTTCTCCTTCTTTCTTAATTATCTTAAGTGCTATTTATCAAATAATGAAATCTGAAAGGACAAAAAAAATGATTCAAACTTGTTTATTTGCATTATGGCTTATGTCAAGTTTTTTGAGAAAAAAAATTGTTTTGTGTGTTCTCTCTTTTTGTGGCGTAAGAAAAAAAAAAGCTTGTCGTCTGTGAAAATTACCAGCTTTTTAATTTTTTTTTTTTGTTGTTGTTGCTGTTGCTTTTCTTTCCTTCCAGTTCTCGAAAAATGATTTCAGTAGTTTTATGAGTTATTGTCTTGAGAGAAGCCAAAGTCAATGCATTTCAGTGGATCTCGTAAAGCGTGATGTTTGTTTGTTTGACAACACTTCGAAATCTGTCACTGGATGGGATTTAAAAAGTACAAAAAATGCAGGCTTTCCTATTTCTACAACTGATTGTACTTATGCATTTTGTACCAGTGGAATTTTTTATACTGGAGATTAAAGGATACAAAAAAAAAAAATTAGAAAAAAGCTGTCTGGCCTGGTGGTGTGGCCTGACCCTGACTGATCCTGAGTATGATTTCTAGCTGGCATCAAGAAAGTTGGTTTTTGATATAAGATTTTCTAAAAGATCTTTGGCTTTATTTCTTTCACTTCTTTTTCCTCACTTAAATGTATTTTTTTCTACCTTTCTTTCTTTTCTTTTTTTTGGTTTTGTTTAATTTTTCCTCAAAACCAAGAGGGTAGTTGAGTGTCAGATTTTTTGCTTTAGCAAGTTTGTCTATACAACAGCGGTAAGTTTCATTTGACTTCTGTATTGTGTCTTCTACACGATAAGACGATTATAGAAAAAGAAGGAGTAGAAATATTTAGTCACCTTCAGTGGATTAATGTATTAGTTTAATAAAGAGATAAACTAATTAGAAACTTTTTTGCTTTTAGCTGTTTAGATTTTTCCCGTTACTCTGTCCTTCTCTGTGAACTAACTGTGTAGCTGAAGCAGTCAGAATTATTTTTGTAAACGTATGTTCTTGTGTGATGCAGTTTTTTGCTTCTGTCTCCTATATTAAACCATTTTTCCTAATACTTGTTTCTCTTTGTGTTGTTATGTTCCAGTGACCGTCTGATGTCGTACTGTTTCATACCTTTTATCGCTGCCATTTTCCGGTTTTTTTYTTCTTCTCTGTCGTTGTTTCTTTTCTCCCGTGTTTATATGTTGTCGAGTTATTATTTTTGCATTTTTTTTTCTGTTCTGACCACATAGTAAAGTTGACTCCATTACCCAAAAACAACTCAGTATGATGTTCTCATTAAACATAGTAAATATACATTGAGATGTGTGAATGTATATTACTGTGTAGCCCAAGTTGCTGCGCGACAGCCACCAAAAATAAACGGTAAATTAGGATGAAAAAAAAATTATGGATGATTAAAAAGTTCTACGTCTTTTTTTCCACCCAACTTAATGGGATAATTTGACATTTTGGGAAATACATTTTTAAACATCAAAATTATAATGCTGAAATGTGTCCGTTTGCACACAATCGTTGTCTCTGTTGCGTGCTAACAAAGCTAGCAAGTTAAAGTTATGGTTGTCTCTCGGGGAGCCAGCCAGGCCACCCC